GTGCCATCATGATTCCGCATCCTGGAACGTCTATATTTTCAGTTTGCTTTTTTTAAAACCTAGGAAATTATGCACAAAACTTTAATTTTAAGGAACATTAAGAAACTGCCTAAGAAGACCACAGACTCGGTTCAGTGGTGAAGGCACTTGGCCAGGTTTTTTGCTGACAAAGCACAGTACTAGCTCCCTGGATCAATGTCTACAGTTACAGTGACACATCTATGCCCCTTACAATGGGCTTGGCTCAGTGACTGGTGAGACTTTCCACTCCCCCCCCACTCTGAGGCCAGAAAAAGACACCCCCTCTGTGACCTGTCTTTTATACTCTGATTCAAACAAGTTATGTCTTGCACCTCTGACATGGTTAATTACCACTGTTTCCCTTGTACATTTTGGTTGGATCAAAATATCTCTATCCATCGCCCTGTCATCCTGACCTTATCTATAGGAGGGTCATTTTTTCCCTTTCATCATCTTTGAGGAGTGTGTTTACACCAAAACCTTGTTTCAGGGTGTTCTGGTATTACCCTTCTGGAATGTGTTTATTGCCACTTCTCATGAGTGTTTGTGTTTTTGTAACACCAACCATGCTTTTGCCAAGTTCATGTCCTGGACAATGAACCTACAGGCACAGTGACAAAAGGGACTAATGAAGATTTCACAGGCAAGTACAAGTCTGGCATTCTGAATGTTTGAGTGCTTCACTTTGGAAACGTAACTTTCTTTTTGATTCACAGCTGTATAGAGTTTAGGGTCAGAAGGGAGCTTTAGATCATCTAGTCTGACCTCCTGGGTAACAAAGACTATATAATTTAAACCATTTAGTCCTGTACCTCATCTGAATATTTGTCAAGCCCTCCAACAAAATCTTCTGATCCCCCTCTAGTCCTGGTCCACAAAGAGGATGACAACCTACTACTGCTGTCAGTTACTCTATTAGCACACGTGGCAGAGGTTTCAAACCCTGATGACCTATGTGGGTGTCAATATGATTCCACATCTTGGAATGTCTGTTTTTTCAGTGTGTTTTTTTTAAAACCTAGGCAATTATGCACAAAACATTACTTTTAAGGAACATTAAGTTTGAAAAGTTTAGCTGTAAAAAACAAGAACATGGCAGCATTAAAATTGTCTTTGCAACTCTATTTTTGCCCATTTGTACATATGTATTAAGATATAGTCTTTCATTACATGATGACATGCTGTTTTCTCCACAGGACCCCTGCCTTATTCAGTGCACAGGACAGACACTGATCTGAATCAGGGCTGTGGAGTGAAGGAGGCGGTTGTAGGACCTCTGCCTCATTTGTTGCAGAAACTGTAAAGTGTGCAGTATATGAGGCAGGGGATTGCAGAAAGAGAAAGGAGGGTCTCTTGTTAAGGCAGGTGATTGCTGCCCTGGGGAATTAGATTCTATCCCTGCCTCTGCCACAGAGTTCTTATGTGATGCCTGGCAAGTCACTTAAACCAAATGTTTCACAGGTGGCCACTAATTGTGTGTTCCTCATTTTATGGGTGGCCCACTTGTAACCATGGGGGTCTGATTTGTAGAAGTGCTGAGCACTCGCTGCTGTAAACTGAAGTCAGTGGGAGCTGTGCTGTATAAGGCTAAGTACTCTGAAAAACCAGGATCTGGATGTTTCAAGTTGGGCACCAAAACTTAGGGATGCTTTTGATAATTTTGGCCATAGTGTCTCTGGACTTCAGATCCCGACATGTAAAATGGAGATAACACTTCCCTACCTCCCAGGGTGTTGTGAAGAGAAATTAATTAATGTTTGTGAAGCACTTGGGTAATATAGAAATTAGCACCATAGACAATCTCATGAGGAAATTAATAATTCAGTATTCAGAGTAGGGTTTGGATGACGTGCAGGACATATGGCCACACATTAAAGAGTGAGTATAAAGAACAATTAACCATCTACCCATCTGTGAGCACCATGTGTCCTCTGCACTGAATGAGGGAGGGGTCAAGTGGAAAAAATAGCATCTGATCATGTAATTAAAGACTGTATCATAATGCAGAGTCACAAAAGGGACTAATGAAGGTTCACAGGCAAGTACAAGTCTGGCATTAAGAATATTTGAGTGCTTCACTTTGCAAACTTAACTTTCTTTTTGATTCATTGCTCTATAAGTTTTAGGGCCAGAATGGAGCTTTAGATATTCTAGTCTAACCTCTTGGGTAACACAAGCTATAGCATTTAATGCACTTACACCTATACTGAATCTAATAACTTGTGTCTGGCTAAAGCACATCTTCGAGAAGGCATCCAGTTTTGTTCTGAATACTTCAGGAGGTGGAGAATCTTCTGCTTCCCTTGGTAGTTTGTTTCAATATTTCATCACCATCACTGTGAAAAATGTATGCCTTACCTCTAATAGGAATTTATCTGGCTTTGTTGTTGTTATGCCTTTCCCCACTAGATTGAGAAGGCCTTTAGTATGCAGTGTTTTGTACCTTCTAGGTCATCTTTTTCATAAGCTAAACAGATTGACCTCCTTAAATCTCTCACTGCAAGGCAAATTTTTAAGCCCCCGAATCCTTATTGTGGTTTTCCTCTGCACCCTTTCCAATTTTTGAACATCTTTCTTTAAATATGGACACTAAAACTGGATGCAATATTGGTCTCGTCAATGCTGTACACAGAGGAAAAATTACCTCCCTATGAGAGCTGGTAGGAAATTATCTTGCAAACCAGAATTGCATTGGAAAATACCAGTTTGTTGAACTCAACATTTATCATGGAACTGAGCCAGATTCAGTGAATTTTCTTGAAACCACAGGGAGGGTCAGGTGGAAACCAACATGGATCCCTGGACGGTTCCTGTTAACCCTGCCATGCAGATTGTTCCAGAATTGAAAACCCTGCTCTTTCTAGGGTCTGAACCACCAGGGCAGCCCTGCCAATGCTTTCAGGCTCTCTGCCATGGGAAAGGAGACTGAAAGCCCTGGGAGCCCCAGCTCTAACCAAGGCTCAGCTCCAGGGTCTGCATCAGGGATCCTGGAAGTCCTGGATGGGTTCTGGTGTCCCAGGGTCTGCGGTTCCGGGGCAGCCCTGCCTTGCAGAATGTCCTGGATTGGATTATTTGCCTACTTAGGCAGCCAGCTGACCAAGGAGTCTGGAAGCCCGGGGGTCCCCAGTCCAGGGCAGGCCGCATGGGGAGTCTGCCCCAGAGCCCCAGCAGTGGCTGTGAAAAATTGTCGTTTTTGTCCTGATGTTAACAGAGATGAAACTGTCAAGAATGTCAGTGTCACTCCACATTTCTTGCGGTTCCAGGGAGCAAATTTCATGTTGGAAACACCATCTGCTGTAGTTTCCAAAACAAAATTTTAGGGTCATTTCCAGTTCACAGGAAATTTTAAAATTGTGAAATTTCCTGTAGACTAGAAATCCTGCATTTCAGCCAGCTCTACTCACTACTCCCCTGTTTATACATCCAAGGATCATCTTAGCCCTTTTTACCACAACATCACACTGGGAGCTCAAGGTCAGTTCTTTGTCTAATATGACCCCTGCAAAGAACATGGGCAATATCTGTATTTCTGTGAATATTATGTGCACCTCAGTTCCTTTTATTGCTATTTTCACATTTCCTACCAGGGTTCAAAGGGTAACCCCCGTCTGAGCTCCCCACATGTCCCAGGAAGGCAGATAATGGCTCTAGGGAACCCAGTCACTGGTAATTAACTGACAATACAGGTGTCAAGGCCTTTGAACTTCTTCCTCTGACCAAGCTGAGCACAACCACACCTTGTTGGGGAGGAGCCCCCAAGGTGGAAATCTTAAACAGAGAGCTTGGGAATTGTTAACAGGGGAGCCCTGATGAACAGAGGGGGTGAGGCAGGATCTGTAGGGAAGGAGATTGAAACTCGGTCCCCAGAAGCAGGGGTTCCTGGGATAAGTTATCAGCCCAGGTTTTGAGGGAAATGCTGAGCTTTAGGTAAAACATAGGCCCGGAGGCTTTCAGTTGCTTTATCCCTTTTCTCTGTGATTGCTGTGTCCCTATGGATAAATAAATAATAGCACTGTCCTGAGTCTGGCACTATTCAATGTTTTTGTTAATGACTTGGATGATGGAGTAGAGAATAAACTCATAACATTTGTGGATGACATCAAGCTGAGATGGGTCGCAAGCACTTTCGAAGACAGGATTAAAATTCAAAATGATCTTGATAAATTGGAGAATTGATCTGAAATCAGTAAGTTGAAATTTAATAAAATGCAAAATACTACAATTAAGAAGGAAAAATCAAATGCAAAAACACCCCCCCTCCAAAACAACCAAAATAGGGAATAACTGATTAGGCAGCAGTACTGCACAAAATGATCTGGGAGTTATAGTGGATCACAAATTGAAAAGTTTTGATGCTCTTGCAAAAAAGAGAAATGTCATTCTGGCTTGTATTAACAAGAATGTCATATGTAAGACACAAGCAGTGGTGCAAGTACAGTGGTACGTTCCGGTATGCCGTGCCAGTAAGATATTTATAGCAGTATGGCATACCGGAAAGTCACAGGAGGAGCCCACCCTAGCCCCGCCCCCAGCCCTTCCATATAGCTGCATTCCCTGAGTCCTCCTGCCTGGGGTCTGTATAGCAGATATGTTTATTGAACATTTCTGCCTTTTTTGCATCATTATTAAAAATTTAACCATCTCTATTTGTAATGGGCCTACACCATTATTATGATTTTTTGTTTGTTCCTAATATACTTAAAAACTCCTACTTATTGTTCATAGCCCTGCCAGTCATGGATTTTATCCTGATGTCTTTAGCTTCCCTTATCAGTTTTCTACATAGCATAGCAATCAATATACATTAGAAGTTATCTAATTCCCCCTTTTTCCATTTTTTATACATTGCCTTTTTAGTTCTATTGTGGTTTGGTGGCCAAGTGAAGGCAGCAATGAGCTTTTAAGCAAAGTTTATGCCAGTGGAGCACCCCAACTCCTAAAGGCCCATTTATAATTCTCAACCTTTATTGACTTTCTAGGACACATTAAGCCTCGGCTGGTTGCAGGGGACAGTGCCTGCTCAGGACGTGTGGAGATAATACATGGAAACACATGGACCACAGTCTGTGATGCACACTTTGATCTCAAAGTTGCCAACGTTATCTGTAATGAACTTCAGTGTGGAATAGCTGCATCTATCCCAGGAGGAGCTCACTTTGGAGAAGGACAAGGAAAGATCTTGACTGAAGAATTCCAGTGTGTGGGGAATGAGTCTCTCCTGCTCTCCTGTCCCAGGAAATCACAAGAAAATCAGACGTGCTCACACACAAATGATGCTAGTGCCATATGCTCACGTAAGAATTCAGCACAATGTCTTTAACATCCCAATGATGTGTATTCTAGATTAGGGTGAAGCAATGTACTGATCTCACTGTGTAGGGAGCTGGTTTGGATAGGATTGGATCAAAAACCCAAACAAGCCAAGATACTGAGAAAGGGATCAATTCCCCCTGACTTTCCTTTCTTTAACTATTTGCTATGAAATAGTTCTAAGGCTCCCTCTCTAAACCTCTTCTCCCTTCTCCCCAGGGTACACAGGGTTCCGGCTGGTGAACGGCAGCATAGCGTGCTCAGGGAGGGTGGAGATCCAGGTTCTTGGTGCCTGGGGAACCCTCTGTGATTCACGCTGGGATTTACTGGATGCCAACGTTCTCTGTCATCAGCTCGACTGTGGGTTCGCTGTATCGGCTCCGGGAGGAGGGTATTTTGGGAAGGGAAATGGCTCTGTCTGGACAGACACATTTTACTGCAAAGGGACTGAACCTCATTTGGGCCATTGCCCTGTTACTGCCCTGGGAGCCTCTCAGTGCTCACATGACAATGATGCCAGTGTGATTTGCTCAGGTAAGTGCAGGAGAAATGCTGGATTAAGGACACCTACCCGTCAGTGTGTGACGCTGCCCCCAGAGCAGGGGAACCTCAGGACACAGCAAGGGGAGAGGGAGCTGGATCCTAAACCACACATAATAATAATAAATATGTTAAACATAAAATTAAAGTAAATAATATTATCACAAATGAATTGTGACCCAGGAAAGCCCTGGATTCTCCAGGAAGAGCTTTAGCCAGCAACTCAGTCCTTATTCAGGGCACCAGAGCAGGGGCAGCACTTTGTCCCTCAGGTTACATAAATGTCACCAATTCATTGTCCCCATCCTTCTCCAAATCATAGACTCATAGACTTTAAGGTCAGAAGGGACCATTATGATGATCTAGTCTGACCTCTTGCACAACGCAGGCCACAGAATCTCACCCACCCATTCCTGTAACAAACTCCTAACCTATGTCTGAGTTATTGAAGTCCTCAAATTGTGGTTTAAAGACCTCAAGGTGCAGAGAATCCTCCAGCAAGTGACCCGTGCCCCACGCTGCAGAGGAAGGCGAAAAACCTCCTCTGCCAATCTACCCTGGAGGAAAATTCCTTCCCAACCCCAAATATGGCGATCAGTTAAACCCTGAGCATGTGGGCAAGACTCACCAGGCAGCACCCAGGAAAGAATTCTCTGTAATAACTCAAATCCCACCCCATCTAACATCCCATCTCAGACCATTGGGCACATTTACCTGCTAATAATCAAAGATCAATTAATTGCCGAAATTAGGCTATCCCATTATACCTTCCCCTCCATAAACTTATCAAGTTTAGTCTTGAAGCCAGATATGTCTTTTGCCCCCACTACTCCCCTTGGAAGGCTGTTTCAGAACTTCACTCCTCTGATGGTTAGAAACCTTCATCTAATTTCAAGTCTAAACTTCCTAATGGCCAGTTTATATCCATTTGTTCTTGTGTCCACGTTGGTACTAAGCTTAAATAATTCCTCTCCCTCCCTGGTATTTATTCCTCTGATACATTTGTAGAGAGCAATCATATCTCCCCTCAGCCTTCTTTTGGTTAGGCTAAACAAGCCAAGCTCTTTGAGTCTCCTTTCATAAGACAGGTTTTCCATTCCTCGGATCATCCTAGTAGCCCTTCTCTGTACCTGTTCCAGTTTGAATTCATCCTTCTTAAACATGGGAGACCAGAACTGCACACAGTATTCCAGATGAGGTCTCACCAGTGCCTTGTATAACGGTACTAATATCTCCTTATCTTTACTGGAAATACCTTGCCTGATGCATCCCAAGACCGCATTAGCTTTTTTCACGGCCATATCACATTGGTGGCTCATAGTCATCCTGTGATCAACCAATACTCCGAGGTCCTTCTCCTCCTCTATTACTTCCAACTGATGTGTCCCCGATTTATAACCAAAATTCTTGTTATTAATCCCTAAATGCATGACCTTGCACTTTTCACTATTAAATTTCATCCTATTACTGTTACTCCAGTTTACAAGGTCATCTAGATCTTCCTGTATGATATCCCGGTCCTTCTCTGTATTAGCAATACCTCCCAGCTTTGTGTCATCCGCAAACTTTATTAGCACTTTCCCACTTTTTGTGCCAAGGTCAGTAATAAAAAGATTAAATAAGATTGGTCCCAAAACCGATCCCTGAGGAACTCCACTAGTAACCTCCTTCCAGCCTGACAGTTCACCTTTCAGTATGACCTGTTGTAGTCTCCCCCTTAACCAGTTCCTTATCCATCTTTCAATTTTCATATTGATCCCCATCTTTTCCAATTTAGCTAATAATTCCACATGTGGAACTGTAACAAATGCCTTACTGAAATCAAGGTAAATTAGATCCACTGCATTTCCTTTGTCTAAAAAATCTGTTGCCTTCTCAAAGAAGGAGATCAGGTTGGTTTGGCACGATCTACCTCCCATTTGGGGTATTGCCCTGTTACTGCCCTGGGGGCCTCTCAGTGCTCACATGACAATGATGCCAGTGTGGTTTGCTCAGGTAAGTGTAATGCTGGATTAAGGACACTGTGTGACACAGTCCGCAGAGCAGGGGAACCTCAGGGCACAGCAAGGGGAGGGGGAGCTAGATCCTAAAGCACGTATAATAATAATAAATGTATTAAAGATAAAATTAAAGTAAATATTATCACAAAAAGAATAGTGATGACCTGGGAATGCCCTGGATTCTCCGGTAAAAACATCAGCAACTCTGTCCTTCCACAGGGCAGTGTAGCAGGAGCAGCACTTTGTCCTTCGGGTTTCATAAATGTCATAAATTCACTCTCCTCATCCTTCTCCAAATCACTGCTATAGCAATTAGAGGGGGAGCTACTAGCAATTCCCAATATGGAGGTTGCTTCACACTTTCTATTATAAAATACTCTCAACACCTTCTTGAGAAGATTTTATGCCGTCATTGTTTGCAGCAGGCTTTTGTAATTTGGGAGGAGTAATGCTGGGGTCAGAGAGATGCCTGCCCCAGTGCAGGGAAATCCCTTCCAGGTTTGGCTGAATTATAAACTGCTGAAAATAAACATTTCTCTTCTCTCACTTGAGTCCCTGAGGATATTTTTGGTAGCATGCCACAGAGAAAGTAGCACTTTATCTCACTTTGGTGTTTTCTAACTTTTTTCACACCTTTCCAGTTGAAAAAAAAATCAAAAAGATTTCCCTCCTGCTTTCTTATACTTTTTAATTTTTTTCTAACTTTTTACAGTGGAAGAAAAGATGAAAAAATAGAAAGGGAAGATTGAATTTTTCATTTTCAAAAAGTTAAAATGAATCAACATTTTAGTTAGAATCTAAACAAAAATTCTCATTCCATTTCCACATCCCAGTCTCTTGGATATGTTCAAAAGTTGAAATACTGCATTGTCATACTTAACAGGAAAAATGTTGGGTTGTTGACTAGCTCCAATATTTACCTTACATAAAAACATTACAAAATTAAACAGTGTTATTAGTCAAAACGAAATGCACAAGAATTAGGAAATATCAGAGTTAAGGTTACCCATGCAATGTTAATTCAGCCTGCCCCCGCCCTCCTTGTGCATAACCATTATGACACAGTCTAATTGCATGCACACATCCTATTATTCCCCTCCATCCCACCAGCTCCTGCCTCCTTCAGTGCACTGGGAGGGTGGTGATCAGGGGCTGAAGGAGCTGTAGAATATTTCTTTTTATCCTCATCATTCAACCTGTGACCCAGGGCCTTACTCACTATACGTACACTGCACTGAATACAGAATGATTAATTTCTTCATGATGCTCATCAGCGTAGTGTCAGAGTACACCGCAAGCATTAATGAATTTGTCTTCATAACACCCTGGGAGATAGCAGACTCTTATGATGCCCCTTTCAAAAGTGACTTAGGCATATAGAAGCCAAGGAATAACATTTTCAAAAGTGCCTAAGTGATGTAGGGACTTAAATCCCATTTTCTCCAGTAACGTAGGAGCCCAAGAACCATGCAGACTTCTCCCTCTTGCTGCCTAAGTCACTTCTGAAAATGGCATTTAGGCTCCTACATCATTTAGCTGCTTTTGAAAATTTTACATACAATGATTAAAGCCAAACTTCCAAACTCGATACTTATTTGGAGTGATTAGGCACCAACCTGAGACCCTTGCGGCCTGCTTCTTCAGAGTACTCACCATTTCTGTAAAGTGTTATGTGTTCAAAGTACTGTCCAGACATTAATAAACCCTCATCAAATGCCAGGGAAGCAGGTGGGTAAGTATTATTATTAGCTCCATTTTACAGCTGGTGAAACTGAGAGAGAAAAGCAAAGTGACTTGCCCAAGGCCACCCAGTGAGTCAGCAGCAGAGACAGGATAAAACAAAGTTTTGACTCACAGCCCTGTGCTCGTTCCACCCACCCACACTGCCTGACTGCAGAAGAAGTGATCAGCCACATCTTGTCTTGACCCTAGCGGCAGTTGTGAGTGCTCAGTACTTCTGCTAATCAGACCCCATTAAAATTGCCTTAAGAGACCTGCTCAGCATTACCTGTGAAGTCTGCGGCAGAGGCAGGAACAGAACTGAGCTCTAATGAATGATGATCACTGCTCTTAACAAGATCATCCTATGTTCTTCCTGCGCTCCCCTGCTCATTCTCTACAGGCCTTCCAGTTTCTAAAGTGAATGAGGCAGGAGTCATACTGGCAACAGCCTGACACTGCACAACCCCGACTTATCCATCCTGGGCACTGAAAGCTGCCAGGGCCCTGCAGGAAAAATATTTCACTAGAAAACTTAATTTTAATGGCCAGCCAATGGTTCCCTTGTGGCTAAATGGAGCCTGTATTCTGGGTCTATAGATCCGCAGAGTTTTAAGACCCAAAGAGGCCATTGTGATCATCTGCTTCTCCCCTCACCAAAGGGATCCCTCCTGCTTAATGAAGTTGCAGCTCCCCTCTCATCTTCTCATCCATGTACAGTCTCCATAGGGCATCTTGACTGGCTGGAACTGGGATCCTTACAGAGACACCTACTGCAGAAGCCCTGGATTTCAACCTTCTTCCTAATAATGGACACATAGCTTCCAGGACTGACTCCCACAGAGACCAGAGTCACTGGTGCCATTACACACCATGACTAAACCTATAGGGCCCTGCCCAGCACTCTCAACAGACGTCTACTCTCCTCTTTACAGCTGATACCTTTGTACCTTGGGGGCAATTCACCTCAAAGTTCTCCTGCTTCTCACAGAGGCTGCTACCTGCATCCCTAACTGAATTCCCTGCAGCCCTGCCCGGCCTCTCCTAACTAGCTACCCAGCCCATACCCTGGTTCATACCCTGGGAACTCCTCAGCACATGAAGATGCTGATTTCTCCCTACAGTTGCTGGAAGGAGAATCCCTTCGAAGGAAAAACACCTGGTCCCTTCCGTACGAGCTCCATCTGCCATGATCCCATCTGGCCTTCCTGAGGGGTTGTGGTACCCAGTTATATCCATGAGCCTCCTCGGAAAGCCCCAAATCTACTCTCTACC